TAGAAAGCTCTGTGGTGCTGACCCTGGAGCTGCAGCACCATGACACCTATGTTAGAGCTCTCAGCATGAAGAAGCATGTGGCAATTTGTAATTTGGAAGCTTAACACCACTAACTCATACTAGTCAGTAGCTAATTGTTTTAGTGTTGGTAGATCAGGTGTCAAGGCTATTGTCATGGATGTGCGCATTGCTATCTAGAAGTCGCTGTCTTCTGAGTCCCTCAGGCTTGGCAATGCAAATTCATCAATCTCTTCCAGACACGTTTAGGATTGCCAGTTTGTACTGTGATCACTGATGGAACCCACATGCCTATTCTTTGCCCCCCGCACTAGATCTCAGTTCATCAATAGAAAGGAGTATTTCTCCATGGTGGTCTGGAGGGTCACTGAGGGGTCTCTCTAGCATTAAGGTGGGAATGTTACTCATTTTATTTTGGGCTATACTGAGTTTCCTCTCAGCCACGGAGTAAGGGGCTCTGTATAGCTACATTGCCCATAGAAGAAATCCAGAGAAGAGTTGTTTTTCAGAGGGGTGCCTCATTTTTCGGAAACTCTTCTTGTGGTCATGCAGCTGTGCCCCACCTCTTACTCAGGCCCGAGAGGAAAATCTGAATAGATCATTCTGAGTCCCAATTCCTAGAGAGCATCTGTATTGTTCCATAGAAAAGAATGTCGCATCAGCCCATCATACTCCCTCCCTCACCCCTTACCTATTTCCCATCCATTCCCTTGTCTCCTTTCTGTGCATCTTTGCTTACCTATATGTAGACTAGCAGCAGCTGTGCAGAGACTGGTGTTGGGGAAAACAAACCTGATATCCAAGTGGCTACATGGAAATTAGAGATCCTTCACACTATCTGAGCAGCACTAAGGGGTGACGTAATTGCAAATCTGATCTAGCATGTCTAGAGGTTAAAACTTGGGATTTGGACGTTAGTAATCCTAGGATTTATACCATGGATTTATAAAGAGACAATAAGTTATTCCTTGTCCTATTCTCAATACACCAGTGTCACCTCAGCACAGGGTCCAGGCAGGTTTTACCATAAGTGACCCCGAGAGATCATCTAGTTCAGCTGGGGATGGGAAAGGGCTATAAACAGAGGAAGCTGGCTCCTGAACATTTTGCAATATCATAATAATTTTCTTTTTATTTGACTTCATACCAAAAAACATTTAAAGTCATGTTCCATTGTTAACCATCCCTTGTTTTAGTATTCTTTCTTCCATAACATTTTTAAAATACATACAAGATATGTGCCAACTTAGGTGCCACGGTGGCTCATATCCAAACAAGCTCATATTGCAATATTGGTATACAAGACAAACTAACTCCACTCATGGATGGAATGTCTTAGGATACGTCTAAACTACATCCCTCTTTCCAAAGAGGGATATAAATTAGACATATCGAAATTGCAAATGAAGCTGGGACTTAAATTTCCTGCACCTCATTTCCATAATCACGTCACAGCGTTCTTTCAAAAAATGCTATTTCGAAAGTGAAACTGCAGTCTAGACCTGGTTCTTTCCAAAAGAAAAGCCTTTTTCGAAAGATCCTGTACACCTCATTTTAAGAAATGGACTAAAAATGTCTAAGTCTGATCACAACAAGTGGAGTTAAAAAAAACCTTAAGCACAAACATAAATAAGCCTGCACAACAGCAGGAGAGGTAGGGACTGCTGTCATCTCAGCAGCATTATCTCAGGCACACATAAACCAATGAGACTATAGTGCTCATTAGGGATATTAAAAAGTAGTTAATTAGGTAACTGTGTAGCCATTAAAAATCTTAGCAGTTACACACTCCAGGCTCTGCAGTATAAAACTTATACTGCAGAGCCCACGGGGCATGAGTGGGGCTGGCAACTAGTGCATAATGGGAGTCAGCTGCACTTTGGGTTCTGCAGTGCAAGCTTTATACTAAAGAGCCTGCAGTTTGCACCAGCTTCCACCTGCCACCCTGCACTGCTGCCGCTGATACAGCGAGGGGGGCGGGGAGCCGGCACATAACTGTTATAGTAACCTATAAGCTCACACTGCTTATGCTTATCGGTTAACTGTTTAAATGGTTACACTGTTACATCCATAGTGCTAGCAGAAAGTTAAGCATGTAAATTCTTATCACCAGACTGCCAGTCAGCTATTTGGTAGAAACATTTCCAGCTATTAACACTATGACCCCCATTTCTGAAATGTTACTAAAATTGACTCCAAACAATTTCTCAAAGCTATAGCCTGCTTGTTTTCTAGTTGACCTCAAAAAGAGCAAGATGGGAAAGCAAAGACATCTTACCCCAACTGGATCTTTCAGACTTGTGTTGGATGGCTTCTTGAGCACTGGTTTTCTAGGAGTTTTAGTTCTACTGAAAATAAAAAACAGAAAATCAGACTCATCATCCAGTCACATGATACATATAGAACTATGCTAATCAACCTAGAGGATATTAACTTGCCTCTCTCCAACAATCTTGTAGACTTACTTTATTGCAGTGATTCTCTACCTATCTCTCTTTAGAAAAGCACTGGTCAATTATGGAAACAGGAGACTTTTGTTCCAATATGGCAAGTCATATGCTCCTACGCCTTGTCTTCACTACTAAAGATGGCATTTGATTTTGTTTCTTATCTCAAGGTTAACAAAAAAAAAGCGAGAGCTATCCTAAGGTACACTTATGAATTTAAATTGTACAGACTTGTACAGACTCAATGATTATAAGGCACTTTATCTCAAGAGAAAAGAAAAATAAGTGAGGTCAGCACGGTACTGTAATACTCTCCTATGAGAGTTACAGGAATTTATTAAAATACTTCAAGTACCAACTGCAACACAAATAGGCAGAGCTGAGTTAGATGGACATGTGCAGCAAGAATCAGATACAACATAATAAAAAAATCTCATCTGTCCAAGTCTATTTAATACCACCCATAGGCAAACATTTTTCATGATATGATCACTATCTTAGAGTTCCCAGTCCTCATCTTCAAAGGAAACCTGCATGTCATCTTCTAAGGCAAGTCTGGTAATTTAATTCATAACTGTGTCAGATACTAAATACCAGTCTTAATAAGGATACCAGATTTTTTATTTTTTACCACAATCCCATCTCCCTCCCCTTTTTTTTGTTTGTTTTTGTTTTATTACACCAGGAGTGCTCATAGGCTACTTCACCTTGAATAGTCCCTTAGAATGAGTTTATTACTCACGTTAAACAGTCAGTTCCACTTTGCATTTAGCTGTTATGGTCTGTATTTTTCTCAGACCATAAGAGCTCAAAAAATCTGCATCTCTCACCAACAAAAGATGGTCCAAGAAAAAAAAATAACCTCACCCATCCTGTTACTCTAAGGCTTGGTCTATGCTAGTTAAGGTTGACTTATGGCTGCTTACGTCGACATAATTATGTCAGTATGTCTAGACTACATGCCTCTGGCGACAGAGGCATGTAGATTAGGCTACCCAACATAGGAAAATGAAACAGCAATTTAAATAATCGCCACTTCATTTAAATTTAAATGGCTGCCGCGTTGAGCCGATCAGCTGTTTGTCGGCTCAGCGCGGTAGTCTGGACGCTCCGCAGTCAACATCAAACGCATTTGTCAACTTCCCCAGTATGCCTTGTGGGAGGAGGTTTACCGGGTAGCCTAATATACATGCCTCTGGATGTACCCTAAGGCTTGGTCTACGCTAGTTAAGGTTGACTTACGGCTGATTACGTCGACATAATTATGTCAGCGTACGCACTCCATCTTTGCTCCTGCCAAAGGACCCTAAAACACTGAGGCGACGTCTAGACTGGCATGATTTTCCGCAAATGCTTTTAACGGAAAACTTCTCCGTTAAAAGCATTTGCGGAAAAGAGCATCTCGATTGGTAGGGACGCTTTTGCGCAAAAGCACTTTTTGCAGAAAAGCCTCCGTGCCAATCGAGACGCGCTTTTGCGCACAACAAATCTGGGCTGTCTACACTGGCCCTTTTGTTCAAAAGCTTTTGCTCAAAAGGACTTTTGCCCAAACGGGAGCAGCACAGTATTTCTGCAAGGAGCCCTGATTTCTTACACGAGATCGTCAGCGTCCTTGCGGAAATTCAAGCGGCCAGTGCAGACAGCTGGGAGCTGCTTTTGCGGAGACACTTGCCGGTCTCGACGCAGCCTGGGATTATAATTTTCA